TAAAACGAATACAACGAAGTTGTACAGAGATAACTGTACTGACGTTGAATAATCTTCACAAATACGTCATATCAGATGGGAAAATGAAATACATTTTGTCTGATTAGCAACAACAATAAATAATATTTTTATATTATAAAGGTTTTGGTTTGATGTTCGAGCAAAGCTACACCAGGATCATCTGCGCTAGTCAACACCACCCACCGACAACTCTTGGGCTATTCGTTTACCAACTGAAAGGGCGAATATGTTCGGCGAAGGGATTCGAACCTGCGACCCACATATTACGAGCGCCTTAACCAACACGCCATGCTATCATGAAACGAACTTCTCTATAAGTATTCCAAAATCTTGAAACAATAGAGATTTTTTAGGCGTAGGGCTTATCTTTCTTGCTTTTTATCAACGAAAGCTGGTTTCACTAAACAGTGAACAATATCCACCAAAATTTGAATATTGGTTTAACGAGTAAAACAGAGAACTGTTGAATTGATGGAAAGACAACGAAAGATAGATTGATAAAACTTACCCAATACTGGTACATTTCACCTCTTCTGGGACTAAAACCAAACATACAATAATGCTCCATGGAACAGAGCGACAGGAGCAGCGCATTCTGTGGAGCCAAAGAGACAACTTTACCGAGCAGTGGATCGGTCGAGAAATATGTGGTAACCACGGGAACGTCCAAAACTATGCGCGAAAGTGTTAGGAGTAACTCCTTCAGTGTGGATCATTAAATTAACGTTCCTGGGTGATTTGTTCTGTAACAATCGAAACGTGTCTACTGAAATTATCAAGTGTTATAAAAAAAAAAGGACTTGATAAATAAATGCTTACGGGTACACACGTTAACGTAAAATATGAATATCGTTTTTTTGAAATTATCAAACACGTGTAGATAAATTGGAAATAGAATTGTGTATATGGTTAAACGCAAATAACTACCGTTGAAAATGTCAAAAAAAAATCATATTTACAAAGAAATATTTTCACATTTCCAGAAATCCTTCTTTTCGATTGGCTGAGTGACACTCGAAGCTCTGATATCTGATTGGCTGAGAGAAGCTACCCACAAATGTGTGGTTCGTGAAAAAAAAACGTTATGAGATGCGAATTTGGCGATAAACTTGTTATTTCTTTAACGTAGCCCCCCCCCCCCCAGTGGCACAGCGGTATGTCTGTGGACTTACAACGCTAGAATCCGGGTTTCGATACCCATGGTGGGCAAGGCACAGATAGCCCATTGTGTAGCTTTGTGCTTAATTACAAACAAACACAACAATCTTTAACGTAATCCTTAAACTAGCCATTTCGAGGCCAGAAAATTGATTTCGTTTGCTCAGGATATTTGTCCAAAGTTCCTCGTCCCTTATTTTGAATTGAAAGACTAGAGGGAAGGCAGATTATTAACAAAACCTACCGCCATCTCTTGGCCTACTTCATTCGAATAAAGGGATTTGTTCGTCTCCCTTATAACCTACATATGGTCCCTTATAACCTACATATGGTCCCTTATAACCTACATATGGTCCCTTGTAACCTACATATGGTCCCTTGTAACCTACATATGGTCCCTTATAACCTACATATGGTTCCTTAAAACCTACATATGGTTCCTTAAAACCTACATATGGTCCCTTGTAACCTACATATGGTCCCTTATAACCTACATATGGTTCCTTATAACCTACATATGGTCCCTTGTAACCCACATATGGTCCCTTGTAACCTACATATGGTCCCGTATAACCTACATATGGTTCCTTATAACCTACATATGGTCCCTTGTAACCCACATATGGTCCCAAGGTTACAAGGGACC